CTTCCATAATTCACGTAACTGTGAAATTAAATAACTACGTTTATAATTAAAGATAACCAAACAACTCTATCACTATATAATTCTATAGTTATTTTAGCATCACATTATTTTATAATTGCTAATTATTAAATACTTACCTATAGTTGTTTAATTGTTGACATTGTAGTCCATTGACATAAATTATTGTAATTATACTTATAACTATTTAATAATAAATAAACAATGAAGAAAGAAAGGGAGGGAGGCATTAATGATACGTGCAAATCCACTTTCTTCGTATGTACTGCGTGCCAGGCACTGTTCTAAGCTCTCCATACTTATTAAGTCATTTAATCCTCCCAATAGGTAACATTATTGCCACTTTTTTACAGATAAAGAAACTGAGGAACAGAACGTTTAAGTAACACACGGCTAATGATCCCTGAGCTGGAACGCAAACCCTGGATCATTCCGGCCATTACACACGTTTTCCTTGAAAGTCCTGACAAACCCTCTCCGAAGCAAACACAACCCCTCACCCGCCCCACCCCGCCCACCCCAATCCAGTTTATGCAGCTGTGACTCCCCCTGCCAGCACCTGCCGCAGTGTCTGAGACTTCTCCGGTCGCCTGAGCCCACCCCTGCACACAAGGCAAGAGGAAAGTGCCAAGTCATTAACAACCTGGGCCTGGCTCTGCAGGGCTTGGGCCTCAGCATTCCTCAGAAATCCCAGGCCTCCTGTAGCACAGGGTCATCATTAGAGCCGCAGGTCCCCTTCCCCTCCCAGCGCTTCTGAGATCACCTCCCCTACGTCGCTTACCTCGAATCCTTTTGTTTCTGTCTCTGTTCCTGGGGGAATCCAAACCCGACTCCACCCCACTTTCCAATACCGACAGCTCACACTGATAAACTGTGAGTCTCTGCCAAGCGCTGTTCTGGGATGCCTTGATGTGTTAGAGCACTCAAGCCTCACAACAAGTGGGGAAACTGAGGCTTGGGGCATCTGAATAACCCAGCCTCTTTCACTTGGCTACAGGTGGTGGAACTGGAGGTTCAAACTGGGCATTCCTGGCCCCACAAAAACCATAACCCACGGTGGGCTGTTTCATTATCTTTCTTGCTCTTATGAAGAAACTTTGGCTGAGCCTTAGAGGTGGGGACGAGAAGGCAGAAGGTGAGGAAAGGTGACCTGTGTGCCCTGAGGGATGAGGAATGGGCGGATAAGGGGAAACTTCGCACTAGGCTCCAGCCAGAGCAGCCAGTTCACTGGAACTCAAAAGCACCCTGTGCTGGATGCTGGCCCTGGCAGGGAGGGGTCTTTGGAACCCAGTAACATGTCAGAGTCCTGCTCTGAGAGGTCATCAAAATGGACAAGAAAAAGCCTCCATTCTCAAGTAGGCAGAGTCCACTGCCACACTCCCAAGACAAAGTTCGGAAAAGGCCCATCTGCCTGGGACTCAAGGAATAGGGGCAGAAAGGAGCCAGGATGCCCAAGGGGAGGCCAGGGGGATAAAAGGCAGGCGGGATGGCAGCAAAGGAGAAGCTTCGGGGCTCCCATGGCAGGTTGAAAGCATGGCTGCAAATTCCTGGACACTTCTTCCTCAAGAGGTGGTGTTTCCGCCCATTCCTCTTGAACCTGGGAGGGCTTGTTTGTCCAGTTCAGCGATGGCTGGGTCACAAACAGCCGTTCAGCTTCCCCTTTGTCCACGGGACTGCCCTGACACTGCCATACTGTGAGGAAGCCCAGGCTCCATAGAGAAGCCACAAGTCAACATTCTCACAATATCCCAGCTGTGCCCAGCCTCACCTCCTTCCAGAGCAAGCACCAGACATGGAATGAAAAAGCTTCTAGGTGGTTCTATCCGGGGGCCTTCAAGTCACTCTCGGCTGTTCCCAGCTAAGATTCCAGACATTGCAGAGCAGAGCAAAGCCAACACCACTGTACCCCGTCTAAATTTTGACCCACAAAATAAAGTGCTTTTTATACCACTAAGTTTAGGAATAGTTTGTTACATAAAAAGAGGAGACTGAAGCCCATCCGCATCCCTGGCAGAGTCCATCCAGACTGAAAAGTAGCCCAGAGAAAATAGGAAAGAAATAATGTACACACTCTTCTCAACTCCTGAGATGTTCCAGTTGGATTGTGATAAAAGACTAAACACTTGTGGGCACCTCTCGTCCACAGACACACTGCAAGGCAAAACATCGAGTCAAATAAGTTTGGGAAATGCTGGTTTAAATGGGCTTCTTACCATGAGCAAGGCCTTTTAACAGGTTAATGAATGGTGTGCTTGAAGGGAATGCCTGAGATCAGGTGTGCCCTGGGGCCAGGACATTTGTCATTCTCCTCCTACGTATAGTAAAAGCAGCTAAATTTTCCACTGAGAAACTGCCACCCCCCACTCTCAGCCCACTGGGTTGTTAAAATTACAGTCATTAATTATAGATTATTCTTTAGAATTTCTAAACATTTCTGAGTAATTGGATTGCAAAACTTTCTATTACGGAGAGTCTGAATCACGCACAGGAGCCATTTCTTCCTGATTCCCACAGTTGCTTCTTTATGGGGAGAAAGTGTGTCAGTGGCAGGCATGGATGGCTGCCTGGTGAAGCCCTTTCAGGAGGATTTTCTCAGGATTTCTAGGACTCAGCGGATCCTGAGGATGCTGGGACCCAGGGATCATCATCTCCAGGCTTCTGGACATTACGAGGGCAAGCAAAAATGTTGTGCCCCAGATGGATTTTGCATACGTTTTTTTGAGACAGTCTCACTCTATCACCCAGGCTGCAGTGCAGTGGCGTGATCTCGGCTCACTGCAACCTCCACCCCCTGGGTTCAAGCGAGTCTTGTCTCAACCTCCCAAGTAGCTGGGATTACAGGTGCCTGCCACCATTCCTGGCTAATTTTTGTATTTTTTTTTTTTTTTTTTTTTTAGTAGAGACAGAGCTTCATCATGTTGGCCAGGCTGGTTTCGAACTCCTGACCTCAAGTGACCCACCCGTCTTGGCCTCCCAAAGTGGGATTTTGCAAAAGTTAATGAACTAAGTGGCAATCACTCAGAAAGGGATTGTTGAAATATCTTAACTTCTTAAAACATTTTTAAAATACCAAGAGTGGAGATGGTTGGTTTGTCAGGATGTCCCATCAGCCCGTCCCCACCAGCTTCCCTTCAGGGCCCAGAGCTAACTGGCCAGTGCGGGGTCAGCATCTCAAGTCAGTTCACATCCAGGGCCCTCACAGCATTCTCTAGAAACCACAGTTCTTACAGAAGCATCCTGTCCCCAAATTTCCTCCTCTGCAAATGAAAACGCTCCCCATTCCTGCCTCTCCCCGACCTTGCTGCAAGAAGTGGAGTAGGAAGGATTTGTCGACTGTCTGCACGACAGCGTTGACCTCTGGGGAGACAACAGACAATATCAACTTTCCACATTTGGCCCTGAATCCACAGGACGGAGAAGAGCTTGCTTGTAAACAAAATTCCTGCTTGCAGTGTGCGGAAGTGCGTGTGACTCACGGCAAAGACCCCTAAGACAGTGAGTGACGGACCCAGCTGCTGACCTTTTGCGTGGGGTGTTAGCAAGCCCCCCAGTTCAAGGATGGCAGCAAGATCTGGTCATGAAGCCTCTCAGGCTAAGCTGTCCTCCTGGGACATAGATGGCTCTCAGTCAGACACGTATGAGCCTGTGCCTCAGTTTCCTCATCTGTAAGCTAGAAATGAAGAACAGGCCCAGTCTCACTGGGCTCGTATGAGGGCAGAGGAGAGACCAGACATGGCCTTGCAGATGAGACGTGCTGGGGAACGTCTCTCCACCTGGGTTGGTCGGCCCCGCATCTCCCCGAATTGATGGGTTTTGTTGTGTTGATGGATGGCAATGCCCCACTAGGCTGGAAGTCATCTCTGTGACTGCCAGCCTTGGTCCCTCATGTCCTCGCTGTCTCCTCAGGGCCTAGCACAGCGAGATGTGCTTAAATAGGACACACACCCCAGCCATGTGTGGCCGACCCGACCAGGGAGGCCTCGTACAAATCACCCCCAGCTGCCTCCAGGAGAGTGAAATCAGCACAAGACCCCACCTCCTCCACACCCTTCCACACACTCATCCGTCAGCTCACAGAAACCCAAACAGGCCCTCATTCAGAATAAAAACACTGGAGAATGTTTTTATTCCATACGATCCGTCCAAGTCTCCCTATCTTTTTGCTGTTGTTTTAGGGATATGTTGGGAAAAAAAAAAAAGATCCTTAAAACAGGAGTTGGGTGAGGTGGCTCACACCTGTAAACCCAGCACTTTGGGAGGCCAGGGGAGAGGTTGTGGCAGATCACGAGGCCAGAAGTTCAAGACCAGCCTGGGCAAAATGGTGAAATCCCAACTCTAACTAAAATATATATATATATGGCAGATGTGGTAGCGCATGCCTGTAATCCCAGCTACTTGGGAGGCTGAGGCATAAGAATCGCTTGAGGCAGGGCACGGTGGCTCAAGCCTGTAATCCCAGCACTTTGGGAGGCCAAGACGGGCGGATCATGAGGTCAGGAGATTGAGACCATCCTGGCTAACATGGTGAAACCCCGTCTCTACTAAAAAATACAAAAAACTAGCTGGGTGCGGTGGCAGGCGCCTGTAGTCCCAGCTACTCAGGAGGCTGAGGCAGGAGAATGGCATGAACCCGGGAGGCGGAGCTTGCAGTGAGCTGAGATCAGGCCACTGAACTCCAGCCTGGGTGACAGAGCGAGACCGTCTCAAAAGAAAAAAAAAAAAAAGAATCGCTTGAACCTGGGAAGTGGAAGTTGCAGTGAGCCGAGATCGTACCGCTGCACTCCAGCCTAGGTACAAGACATTGTCTCAAAAAAAAAAAAAAAAAAAAAAAAATCCTTAAAATCCCAGTGCAATATTGTTTTAGTCCAGCGCACTGAATTAAACCTGCACGTTGCAGCCGTAACTCCCCCTTTACAGAACCCAGAATCTGGTGAGAATTGCATCGTATTTGACAGTGAGGAAAAAAATACAGTACACAGCAGTTTTAAAAAAGAGCATTTTATTTTAACAAAGAATAAAAGAGATCAATATACTGTAAATGGATACAAAAATAAATATTCATTCAGCATATTAAAGATATGTGCTTTGACATTCATTTGAATTGGAGATTCAAGCCTATTGTTATCTTATGAACAATTCAGCAAACAGGTCTGGCATTCTTAAAAATATAATGCTTTGTTGGACAAAACGGAAAAGGCACGTCCCCTGGTCTTCTCCTCGATTCACCTGTGAGCTCATCCACATCTAATGGACCTCTGGGTCTGACTGTCACCTCCACAGGCATGGCGCTGGGAAAAGGAAACTGGTTTTTCATATTTTAAACCGGAAACTCTCACGGTCACAAATCCACCATGTCACGTGAGACTTGGGAGATCGGATGAGCTGTCTCCCAAACCCCAACACCTTCCACCTTCTCAAAATGAAGGCTGACAGGTGAGGCCCCTTCCTGCCCTTTCACTGGGAGATTCTGAATGTGGGATGGTGCTGACTCAGGCTGGGCACAAAGGAGAAAGGAGGACATGGAAAATCCGACAATTCAAAGTAGAAATATTTTAAACATATGTGAAAAACATTTGGAAAGAAGACAACAGGCATCTGGGATGATTTCATTACAGAAATGAAAAAAAAATAAATTTAGTTCTAATCTTCCTGGCAACAAAGCCCCAGAGGAGAAGGATTGTCTGAATATAAAAATATACCCGTTTGCCTGGATATGAAGACATATTCCTGCACCGAATTCTAGAAAGAATATACTTTCTTCTAACAAGTCAAGAGTTTTTCTTGCACTCATTAAAGGGGGGTTTGTATCTAAATATTTTTAAATCTTATTAAAATGCATAAAAGTAAAAAGATATTTCATATAGAATCAAGCCTATGAAATCATAAATCTATAATTCTAACAAAAGATAAAGACAAAAACAACCTTGTTTTCACGAGTTGATTTTTAAACTCCAAATTCCTTTATTCGAAGCAGCTATCTGCTAATATTACTGAATGACAAGTCTTTGGAAATGATAGTTAACCAAAAATGCAGAAAGAATCACAGCAACTAATGATAATGAAGGGGAAAATGTAGAAAATAAAATGTTTAGCCACACGTTGGGGTTACAGCATCCAGGCCACCACTGACATCTCAGCAGGGCTATGCCGCCACTTTGTATTAAACGTCTACTCCTCCGAGAATGCCCTTACTAAATTAAGTGCAAAGTAAGGCATCCCACCCCAGACAGAGGAATCCACATCCTTTAATCATGATGCAGGCCACTGCAATAGGGAGATGGATGCAGGATGCAGCCGGGGTGGGGCGCCCAAGCGACACACTTAGACGGTGATCTGTTGGTTTTCTCTGAAAAACGGTCTCTGGTGTGAGGCACAAATATCTGGAAACATCCGGAAGACGTGGTCTGGCGGCGGCTCCTCGGGGGCCTGCATCACGGAGCCGGCTCCACAGCTCTTCCCAGCCTCTTCTGCCAGCTGCCGGACATAGAGCTGCTCAATCTAGATGGCAGATACAGAAAGTCAGAGGTGGAGGCGGAGGCTCCAAAGGGGATGCACACTATCTTTGACCCTAGCCAGGTCCTCTGATGACCCCAGTGCCACGTGAGTCCCAAGTGAATGAGCCAGAATGCCAAGAAAGGGTAAGCAGTGCTCCAGCCAACACTGTTCCATACTCCCCAGTACTGTCCCAGCTGGGACAGCCAGCACCCAGAATCCCACCATTAAAGATTAATTCCTTTGACCACATGACATAAGGGCTGACAGTGCCCTAATCTGTCACTTAGACCTTCAGGCAACTGAACAGGTAGAATCTTTCTGGATAAGAGGCTTAGATTTAAAAAACAAAAAAGAAAAGCAGAAAACACACACACACACACAGATTATGCGCCTCCCAGACACCAGAAGATGGTTCGGAAATGGCAAGAATCTGTTTCCCCCATACTGAAGGTCTTGCCCAGGCCTGCCTCCTACACAGGTGGAAATTTCGTCCTTGTGACCTCTTCTCCAGCCCAAAACTTGATCCTTACATGAGGGGGCCAGGAGACCTGAATGCAGGGCTCAAAGGTGCCCATAAGGCCGGGAAGCGGTGGCTCACGCCTGTAATCCCAGCACTTCGGGAGGCCGAGGCAGGCGGATCACGAGGTCGAGACCATCCCGGCCAACTTGGTGAAACCTCATCTCAACTAAAAATACAAAAAATTAGCTGAGCATGGTGGCATGGGCCTGTAGTTCCAGCAACTTGGGAGGCTGAGGCAGGAGAATCGCTTGAACCCGGGAGGTGGAGGTTGCAGTGAGCCAAGGTCATGCCATTGCACTCCAGCTTGGGCAACAGAGCAAGACTCCATCTTGAAAAAAAAAAAAAAAAAAACCTGCCCATACTTACCTGCACGAGAATGAGTTTGGAGCGCAAGGGGGCCATATCCGGAAACTCTTCCCCAAAGCACAGCACCACCCTGCCGTCGGGAAGCCGGCCCTGGCTGTTATAAAACTGCTGCAGCTCTGGAATGACACAGGCGGAGGGTGTTGGCAAGCAAGACCGAGATGACCTCCAACTCCCGCAGCAGCAGGGCTGGGGGATCAGGAGGCCCAGGGCTTAGCAGGGGCTGGGGGATCAGGAGGCCCAGGGCTTAGCAGGGGCTGGGGGATCAGGAGATTCGGGGCTTAGCAGGGGTACTGCAGCAGGTAGGCCAGGGCACCATGGGATCTCAAACTGGTGGCCCTTGGGCCAAATTCCAAGCAAGGAGCTGTTGGTTTGGCCATTCCAGGTTGTTGCCGGGATTTTAAGGCCTGAGTTGAACGCCTCTCCATGGGCACAGCTGCTCAATGCTCCCTCTTCTCTCTCGAGAATTCGTGCATTGCTCTTACCTGCCTGGCCCCTGGAGGCAACTGAGTTTGCAACCACCACCTGATGACACCAGGGAGGGCTGCAGCCCTCACCCGATTCTCTGACAGCCAAGTGAAAGGGTCTCAAAGTGGGGCCAGTGGACCAGCAGCAGTTGCCTTCCCTGAGAGTTCATTAGACATGCAGAATCTTGGGCCCTGCCTCAGACCCATGGAGTCAGAGGATGTGAGGCAGCCCCAGGAATCTACGTGGCAGGACGCCCCTCCATGCCGTGCCGTGCCGTGCTGCCTGCTCAGGGGTGATAACCCCGGCCTCACACCCCCTCATTAGAGGGATTCCTCAGGGCTTATGCACCTGAGCCCACACACGCCACCACACCTGCCCTTCCAGGCCCCTCCTCTGGGAGTTCTCAGGCCAGTGGCAGCTGAGACCTGACACTAGCTTGGGCTGCTGCAGAGAGAGGAGCAGAGAGCATGGGGACATGGAGAAGGGAGCCGCCATCCTAGCCCTCCAGAAGACACCCAGGCTGGGATCCTACACATCCTCCTCATAGAATAATGAAAGCTGATGGGCAGCACTTAGTGCATGCAGCTGCCATCCTGAGCACTTAGTGTGCGGAAAGTCAGCGTATCTCATGACCTGCACACAGGTCCCCAGAGACCTTACTAAGACACTGTTTCGGATCCTGTGGTTGGAGCAGGGCCTCAGACTCTGCATCTCTAGCCAGCGCTCAGGGTCTCTCCACAGAACATACTCCAAAGAACATGAGGTTAAGTTCCTTTACCCTCCCGACAATCCCCTGAGGAGGGTACTGATTCTGCACCCCCACTGTACACACGGGGAAGTTGAAGCATAGAGAAGCACCGCAGGATCGCTCAGTGGGAGAGGACAGAGTGCCATTCAAAGAAGCCCCTCCTTGCCACACCATGCCCCTCGCTCCTCCACATCCCTCTGTGAGACCACAGGGCCACCCTGAGCTGCAAATGGCACATGGATAGGAGGCGTGATCTCTAAGACATGGGGCCAGCAAGGTGACGACGGTACAGACCTCGGAAGAACTGGCTGGTGTCGAAGACCTGGACCACCTCGTCGCGCTCCAGCTTGTTGGGCCTGCCCTTGCACACCACGGCGTTGCCGCTGCAGAACACGCGGCCCTGGCACAGCCGCTTGACGAACACGCCCTGCCGGCTGCTGTGCAGCAGCACCCCGCGCTCCAGGTGCCCGAACAGCTTCCGCGTCACCTGCCTCTGTCGCTCGCTGGGGATGGCGTCGGCCGGTGGGAAGCGCACCAGCTCCAGGCCCTCGGGCCCATACAGCTTGGTGCCAGGTAGCCCAGGCTGGCTCAGGGACAGGCGGCAGCCCTCGGGGCAGGTGGTGGTGGCCTGGCCCACCAGCTTGCCCCCATAGTAGAAGCTGATCACCATCTGGGAGAATGCTGTGGACGAGAGGGACACGATGAGGGTGCTGCGGGGAGACACACAGGGTCCCTCCTGCCCAAGTGCACAGTCTGTCTCAAACCCACATGGGTAACTCTTTGTGTTTCTTGAACCACTTTGATAATTCTGGGAAAATCCGTGTACTGCTTGTAGAAGTAATGTTTTTATACGCATGAACAAATATACAGAATGACTAAGGAAACCAATGACAGAAACTATGAACTACAACAGTGTTCTCTGTTCTTCTTCATTGACTCTTTAAATACAATGTCTAGAGAAGGTCTGGTAACTGTTGTAATTTACAAGTCAGGCTGACGGCAAACGATGTTTCGATGTTTCCACAATTGTCATTTCTTATGATGATACTCTGTCTCAGAGGCACTGCTAAGGACACTGTGGTCTGCTTTCTACATTCATAACAAAAGGAAATGCTCAATTTAAACCTGAAGTTAAAGAAAATAAAGACATAATCTTTTTCTCAACAAATTCACAGTGCCCTTGGTATTTCCTGGATTTCAGATTAAGAATCTCTGCAAAACCCTCATCCAAATCTGTTCTCAGGAAAGAGTCTGAAAAACACTCCAACTAAAGCAGGGGTTCCCCAAATGTGGCACACACAGAATAATGCGGGAGGGGTGACACATGTAATCACAAGATTATTCCATCTTCAATACTCCCCCAACCTCTGATTACGATTACCTCAAAAAGCAAGCCTCAGTTTGGTGCTGATAGCTCTCTAACACTTAACACCTGTCAACCTCCCCTTTTGAATAATGGCACTGAACTTAGGGCTCCAAATTCAGGGCATTGTCGGACGTCAAGACAAATTCAATGAAAGCCAAATACAATCTTAGTCAATTCTAGCCAGACAGTATCACCTACTTATACCAGGTGGCACAGGTCTTCCTTTACAGGCAATGATAGTGGGTTCTCACTTAAAATAAGCTTTAAAAATTCAGACTTGAGGAAAAACATGATGTTAATAACAGTCCAGGCTGTGAAAACCAGTTGTGACAGTGGACCTCAAGTGACCAAAGTTTGGAAAACACTAAACTAAGGTAGGAATGCAGATAACATGTAAATGCAGGGAGGTATCTGCATTTTAATCGCCTTAAACCAAAAGAATTACATACGCTAGCAATGAGCTTAGTGAGTTTGGGGCTCCTTCTAAGTACCCCAGACCAGTTCAAGGCTGCCTTGTGGAGCCACACAAATTGTGAGGTGCCCAACTCCATGGCGCCCCCTAGAGTTGTGCAAGGCACCACATCTGGGGAGGCCTTGAGGCCATCTGTGGTCCCTGCAGACACTGCTGGGTACTCAGAACTCCTTGGACCCTCCCACTGGGCTCTGCTCCCTGCCTTATTATTTGACAACCCACCATGCACGGGCTCCATTTCCAGCCATGCTGGAGTTACACAGGTTCTAGAATCACGCAGGGTAGGAAGCCAGAGCTGCAGGAGCTCTGGTCCACCTCATTGATTTGACACTTGAGGAAACCGAAGCCTAGAGAGGGTCACCCAGAAGGAAATGGCAGCACTGGTCTCGCTCTTCCCTGCTCACCATCCTCCCTGCTGGCCTTGCTCTTCCCTGCTCACCATCCTCCCCGCTGGCCTCGCTCCTCCTCACTCACCATCTTCCCCACTGGCCTCACTCTCCCTCACTCACCATCTTCCCCACTGGCCTCGCTCTTCCCTGCTCACCATCTTCCCCCCACGCCAAGTCTGCAACTTCTGTGCTGCCTGCTGACTCCACACACTCCCCTTCCTTCACCCTGAAGCAACTTTTGAACTTTGTTCCAAAGGAATGAAACACTTCAGGCAACTCCGTCACCCCTTTGGCCCTTTGCCCTGTCATTTCCGGGGCCTTATCTTGGTACCAGCACCTCTCAGTCATGTGAACTGGCAGCTTCACCCAGAACAGCTAAGTGCTTCAGAGACACCTGTGCAGGAGTGTCTTAGTGACCACACGCCACAGAACGTCTTATGCTGAGAGAAGGTTCCAGCTATCAGGCTTGCACCTGACAGGTGAGAAGCCACTCACCAAGGGCTGCCCAGGTGGGAAAGGTGAGCCTTCTGCAACACTAAGGGCCCCACTGCAACCCAGCCCTGCCCTTGCAACCCACAAGAGCAGCCGTGCTGGGGAACGGCCTGACCACACAGGCAGCAACAAAGATGCCCACAGCGCAGACCCTGCAGCCCACCTGCCTGACTTGCGGTCCCAGCGCAGCCGCTGCCCAGCTGGATGACCTCGGGCAAGCTGCTTCCCCACTCTGCCTCAGGTTTTCATCAGCAAAGCAGATAAAACAGCATCCACCTCACTGGGCTGCTGTGAGGATTATCGGAGCTTGTATTTGTGCTTGGCACAGGTAAGCACCAGTTAAAGAAACTGGGTAACAGGACAAATGCTTATCTACACAGACAAGACTCCTGAAGTTATAAATCATAGCCTACGGTCTACACAGCACCCACCAGGTGCTGTGTCCAGGGCACGGGACCTACCAGCACACTTAACCCTGAAAGGTAGATTATTAATGATTATACCCATTTTCCAGGTGAGGAAACTGAGGCATGGATTTACACAGAGGTGGGGGTGGGGCTGGACAGAGGTACAAAGCTCACAGCTTCTAGAAGGACGTTTAGGATGCTCTGTGCATGAGGCAGTGGCTGTGACTCTGCTGGACTAATTCAGGGACATGCTCTCCCCAAATTGTGTCTCTGCATCTTGCTGAGACAACTCAGTTCTGTGCCTGGCTACTCCACAGCCCCCGGAAAGCATCGGTCAGCAGACTCCCAGGTCACAGCCCGGTGGCTGGTGAGCCCGGAGTCAGCCCCATGACCCAGGGCCTCCCAGAACTGAGCTCCTGTGGCAGCTGCCAGGCACAAGGAGGCCTCAAGAACAGGCTGTAGTCAGAGGCCTGCGTGACCTGGATGAGACCCTGAACTCTCAGTCTCAGTCTCCTCATCTGTGAAGCTGGAGTGAAAACAACCCCCAGCTCAAAGGGCTGCTGGGAAACAGACAAGAACTTCACGGACAGGGCATTGTCATCTCGGTAGTTTTCTTGCCTGGGTGAGAACCAACCTCCACAACCCAAAAAACTGTCCCATGCGGACCTCGGCCAGCATGCTCCTATCCCGGCCCCATTTCCTCCTCTGCCCAGAGGCCCAGCCCTAACGTCGGTGGCCCATCTGATGAGACCAGCTGCTGGCCTCCCACAGAACCAGCCAATGCTGGAAGATGCCCCGGCTTCCCTGTTCAGAAGATGCTGTCACCATGCCTGAGTGTCAGTTCCGGGGCAGCTGGCAGAAGTGCAGCCAGGGTCCTTAGCTGCTGAGACTACACACAAAGGCCACCTCTGCCCACTGCAGGCGGGTGTGGGGACGGGACAGCTGCGGGGAGGCCCCCACTCTGTAGCACACAAAGCTACGTGACCAGGGCTCCTGAGCCTGTGAAATAGGAACAGCCGCACCCACCTAGAGGTGGCAGGCACGGGAGCCTGAGATAAGGCTCTGAGAGGCTCCATCACTCCACCTGCGGCCCCTAAAGAGGGGCAGCACTGGCATGGATGCTGGCCTGTCCCTCACTCTCTCTCCTGCAGTTACAGCCTCAAAAAGCACTCTGTCTACTTGCTGTTTCAATCCAAGAAAAGGCTCAAAAGAGGCCACTCGCCTGCTCCTGACCAAATGGTGAGGAGGAGAAATCGGGGCCTCGACTTCCACACCAGGTCCTGCTCATCCACAGAACCCCGCAACCCTGCTTGGGTCATCTGGGCTTTGTCTTCAAACAGTGCCCGTGCCCCGCTCAGCCCGGACCACCCCGTACCTGAATGGTGCGCGTCGTAGGCGGTGTACCCCGTCACCAGCGACACGCCTGCGGGAGAAACAGAGAAGCAAGCTCAGAGCCACCCAGGTGTGGTGCCCAGGGAGCTACCCCAATCGTTCCTTCTCCAAGTCCCTTAAAAGGCTGCACATGGCGGGCCAGAGGCCCCAGGGAGCACAGGCTTCCGCTGAATTCAGTGCTTTTCCCCACCAGAGCAGACAGCCATTGTTTCACAAATGCAGAAAACCAGAGTGGCAAGTCGGGGGGACTTCCTCTATGCTGTGGGATTTCTGATCATGTGTCAGTGTGACACTGTGGGGCCACATTTCCTTCCCACCTCAAGCACTTGCCCCCAGAATACCACTGGACTGCATACCCACCACCCAGGGCTTCTCTCTCGGGGAGAGCCTGGGGGTGCAAGCTAGCTTTCCAGAAGGTGTTCCTGCAGCACAGACAGAGGCGCCTTTCCAGGGGCCTCTCAATCAACACCCACGGCCTGGCAACCTTCAAGGCCTCCAGGGCCAGCTGCCACCTCCCAGACTCCCACAAGGGATGTGAGGCTGTGGGGAAGACACTGAGGGAGGAAGCAACCACATTCACGGGCTGCAGAAGCCTGGGCCTGGGGGGCGGGGGCATTTCAAGCAGCTAGGGGCTCGGAGTGGCTCATCAAAAGAGCATCAAAGGATGAAAGCCTCATTTAACCCTTGTGACCCCATGGCGCAAGTCCTGGTTTCTCCATTTTATGGATGAATAAACTAAGGCTCAAGATCTGCAACTTCCCAGCGCGATTCAAATCCAGGGCTCTGAGCAAACTTCCTATTCCTGGTCTGAGTTCTCCTCTCCTCCAAATGCCCTGGGCTATCTTTGGTTCTGAGGGGTCCTTAATGTCCTAACAGACTGTCCGACTAAGGGAGCGCCCAGGGAGGGGGCGTCCGTGTGGCCAAGAGCTGCATCTTCCCTCTAGCCTTACACAAGTTCACTAGACCCTCCCCCCTGGACTTTCCGAGGAGCGTGGGGAGAGCTGGCATGGACATCACTTAAGGAAAAAGCAGCTTGTGCCCTCCTGAGAAGCAGCGGAGAGCAGGGCCAAAGGCACAGCTGGGCTCTGCCCTCATGGTGGGAAACCAGGGCCATGGTTCTTCACCTCTCAGGGCTCAGCTACCTTCAATGACACATGGATCATGACAGCAACAACCACCCACTCCGTCCCTGGCTGGGGGAATGCCGTAAACCCCTTCAGGCCATGCCTGGTGACAATTCCGGGCCACCCACCCTCACCTGTGCTGGGCTGCTGCGCCCACCAGTCTGGAAGGAGCTGACTCCGACAGGCCTCCGGCGGGGAAGGGCTCCTTTTGATCATCCCCATGTAATCGTCCACAGAAGGCTGCACAGTCAGGGGAGGGAGAGGAGGGCAGCTCAGTCACTGATCTCCCACCTGGGGCTCCAGTGTTTGTAAAAATGAACAGTTCATGTGTAACTAAAACCATATTGTCACCTTTATCTCAGGACACAAAAGTCAAGCTTCACTTTGCAACCTGAAAGGCCCTAGGCCTTAAATCTACCGGGCTTAGCATTCAAACCATGTGGCCAAATTACTAGGCTCTCTGGGGGCCGCTAATAAGTTTCTTGGTCCTTTCCAGGACCTGCCTGTTGCAGACCCAGCGTTCCAAGTTATCCAACTGCCCCCAAAGCCCTGGACACACAGACAAGCTCTGAGACACCAATGAACGGTGATGCTGGCCAAAGGCTGCCATGCTTTCGAGAATCTCACTCAATGAGCCACACGCAGATGTTTAATCTCTGGCCCATTCCTTAAAGGAGGCTGATAAATCCAATTATGAAATGTTTTGAAATTGCTTTTCTTGTGACCCCGGTGTAGCAATCCAATTATCTCACTCTCTCAGCTGAGTCAGCAGAAAAGCCTTCTACAGAAAACAGGACATTGGTGGAGGGCCACGAAGCCAAGAATTCACTCAGTCGGCTGCCAAAGACCACCCAGACACTTGGCAGCTGCCTCTGCAGAAGAGCAAGGCCGTTCGGGTAGGTGACATTCTGTTATCTTCATTCTCTGACAGCCTAGCTACTCTTAAGGATTCCATTATTGCTATGTTATTAAAAAGAAGAATTTAGACAGTACTCACACCACCTTTTGCAAAGGCTGCGTGAAGTTTAGTTATGCAAATGTCCAGCTTGTAATACCCATAAAAAGCATAGTTAAGAGGCCAAAGACAGAAGAAAAGGGCATCCCAATAGCTGAAACGGGCATACAAAAGCCATGTGTTCTAGGAGGCCCCGATTACCCTCTCCCTTGTAGCCTATGAGGAGTTTATGTGCAATTTGAATATGCTTGGTTATCCAGTTTTCTAATTCGTTAAGGAATAAAACCTGCACATTAAAAAGGAAGCAATCAAATAGGCATGAGAGCTGGTACAACACACCACACCACCATGACAAGCACAGGCAGCAAGGAAAGTTTACATTTTGTTCTCTGCAGCCTGCTAGGAAGGCAAGGGAGTTCACGATGCCATTTAAAAGACTGCTGTCCATAATGTTCAAAATGTTTGAACAGTTTGGAGCTGGAAAGAACTTCACTAACACATAACAGGCAGCTCAGGCCCAGCCCTAGGGATGAAGGAGGGACTGACCTGTCGGCAGAGGCCAACCTGGGGAGGGGGCACCGAGCCAGTCCCGTTCCAGCTCTGCACAGGTGGAGATGCCACTTCCTAAGAGAGCCCGAGGCTCTGGCTGCCTTCATACAGCAAGAACGGTGCCCGTCCCTGACAGATGACATGAGACTCACCCTGGCAGGGCCAGACCCCTGAAACGCTGCCTCTGCTTACCTCCTTGATCAGCTCGTCGATTTCAGAGCGACCGCACTCCATCTCCGTGACTTCATTCACGCAGCCAGCAGTTGCCACGCCTAGTTTGCCTACAGAAAACCAGACAAACACCATGACACACGGCACGGAGGCATCACAGCCTTCACTGAAGCCATGATCCACTCTGAAAATGCTGAGTTTAAGGAAACGTTAAGTTAGTGAGTGTCTTCATTGGTTTGGGAAAGACGCAGAATTTTTTTCCCATGCTTCAGTCATCTGATCAGCAAAGTCAAAAGAGAGAAGTTGGTGGCGGTGGTGGTAGTTGTTTCTGCTAACACTTTTAAAGGATAAATACAGCATTTTGGTCTCTTTCTTCTATTTTCTGAAGTCCAAAATGAATCTGTATCAGATATACTTTACAGCAAGCATTTGCTAACCTAAGAAGGTTACATTTATAAGCCAGGGCATTTGAAAACACTCAAAGATTTCCTGGCAAAATGTGTTGGCAGGTTGGGGTCTTTTTTGTATTGCCAGTTGGCAGGAAATCTCTTTATGGCTTTTCCAAATATACACATGTGCATCAGTGCACATAGCCATGCCCACACACGCACCGCAGCACCCTCACTGATGCCCAGTGGGCATCAGCCGTAATCACAAACCGCCTAAAGGTGCACAGCGTCCACAGGAGCACGCTGGGCCAGCCTCTGCTCTTTCCCTTCTCATGCCGCTTCCTCAGTCGACAACTTACCTTATGAAGTTTATCAGTGTGAGACATATCACAACCAACAAACACAAAAATTCATTATTCCCAGTGACCCACAGAATTTACCCACTCTTTCCTCCTGGCTGAATTTGGATTCCATTTCGATAGATTGAAGAATTCACTGAGAAGCTACTGATGGGGAAGTAGGGAGCAGGTGGGGCGCCCACCATGGAGCCTGCAAACCACTGAAGTTCAGAGGAGAGTGGGCCCCTGTAGGCAATTATGCAAATGCTACGTTGCTTCACCCCTGAGAACCTCCTGCTGCTTCTTTAACATCACTATCAGGTGATGCTGGCCACACCCCATGCTATAAACAAGTCGGGGTCACCTGCCGGTTCAAGCCTGACTCATCTTGCGGGTGGGAGTGGGGGCCAAAATAAACTTCTCTATTCCTTCAAATCACAATTTACTCTTTGGTGACAAAAAAAAATTGCCCAAAACTGGGAAATGAGGCAAAAAGATGACTGCTTAGCCTTTCAGGGCCACCCTGGACTATTATGTAGAGATTTCCTCCTGGAGGCACCCGATTCTCCAAGGGAAGGTCAGTTTGTTGGCCTTACTATTTAGTATTGATCAGGGTTCAGGGTCAGTAGAGTTAGGTGTTAACTATGGATGATTAGGCTACAAACGCCCCAAACCGCAGTTGTACTGTCCAGGTCGGGCATCAGGTTTGGCTCAGCTTTCTCGTTCATGGGCCACATTCACCAGCGCCTCGGGTTCTCTGTCCACCGTCTTTACCACCATGCTGCCTCCCTCATAACGATTAAACAACTCTCTGACACAGATTCGCTATATATTTGTTTGAGTCACAATTTTAACTTTAAAAAAAATTCTAAGTCAACACCCCCACAGTGGGAAGAGTCAAAACGTCAAACTTCTGCACAGCCCCAAGAAGTTTTGGGGGTTTCTATTTCTTACAGGCATTCATGGACTACTCAGAAGCTTAAAAGGAGAAAGTCAGAGTGGGTTATTCTAAAAGCCCCATTCAGTGGCTCAGAAAATCAATGTGTTAAAAGCATGTTGTAAACCAGTGCTGGTAATTAGGTTTTATCTCATAAATCAGCTACAATTCACAGCAGCGGCACAGCACAGGGCTTTGAGAAGGATTCTGAGGCCAGATCCCAGCTCAGCACTTTGGGACTGATTTTAGTGATGTAGGACCAGGGTGCGGCATGTTTTTGCTGTCCTGCTTTAATCTGTCACAAATGTTTTCTTGGGATTTGAGAGCTGGAAGAAACCTCGGGAATGATCACATCCCAGAGTTCCCAAATAATGATCAGGATCTAATAACACATTGAGGCATATCCCATCTCCAACAATGAAGCCCATGGTGCCATCTTTGACGACTTCATCTGACAGCTTTACTCCCAACCCTCATGATCCAGTCCTTCTGCGGCCACCATATTTTCCCCCAGCCTCCTCTGCAAGCTACTGGAAAATGAAAGGATTCCTCATCAGAAACTGCTGGAGGATGCTTATTCCTGTCCAGGGGGGCCCTACACATGTCTGTGGTCTGGCAGCAAGTGGGGCACAGGCTGGGCTGCACCCAGTCTCCTCCGCCCTTCCCTCCAAGGTCACTGGAAAGAGATCTCAATCTCTGCTTATGCAAAGGAGAGAACTACTTTGTTTAACTGAAACCATGTGCCCCAGACCCTGTGTCTACCCCAGACCCAAGCTCTGTGGTGAAGGCTGCAGGCCAGGGCAGCTTCCGGAAGGTTTGATACCCATAAAGGATAGTTACATTTTTGCTCTTCCTCAGGAACAATTCGGTAAACTTTGTATGGCTCGGAAATGTCCAGCTGGGACCGGTCCGTCACTTCCTCAAAATCTGGGCTCTTATTCAAAGCACAGCGTAACCTCGTCTTCCAAGTGGCTGGTTCAGCTTTGTCCCCTTCTTTAAACTTCCCTTTAAAAACTGCCCAGGCCTGAAGAAAGAAACAGAAGCACATTAAATTCACGGCCGACTCCAATCACAAATATCTGTCACCATGACCAGGACCCCACATATCCTTCCCTTCCCACGAGTCTTTGTTGGCCATCAACTCTCATTCAATTTCAGGACCCAAGGCGACTCCAATCATGTCTGGAGACCAGATGTGAAAAGACCCAAGCCAGGGAGGGGGTCCTCCAGGTTCACACAGCTGAGTCAGAAGTCAAACCCAGGCCGAAGGCTCCTCCAACCCTGGAGTGTGCCTTTTAGCCAAGCCCTTCCCTGGCTGAAGAGCTGGAGACACCTGAGGTTTACACAGCACAAAGAGGAAGTTGCATATGGTTTCACCAGAGCGTTCAAAACAAAGAACAACTTGTTGCTTTTTCGGATCAACCCCTAAAATTTAGCATGAAAAGAGAACATTTGCAAAAAGTCAAAATGGTCATCCATCGCCCTGTTACTTTTAATAGAAATTTTGTTTTGCATTTTTGCATTTATTCTAGACTTTTCCCCCCAGGTGCTGTTTAAAATGTAATGAAGTATTTTCCCTTCATTGTGTGTGTTTTTTTAACAGATCTGTTTTCTAACTTCTCCAAGCCTTAGGATCTGAACTAGGACCAGAAATTCAAAGCCGATATCTTAAAGTCATAATGTAGAATGGTGAATGGACAGGTGAATGGACAGATTTTAAGATTGCAAAACGGGAATACAGACACACCAACTAGGAGGAAACCACAGTCAGATGAGAATTATCTTCGGTTCCAGGAAAAATCAGACAGTGTCCTCCAGCCTAACATGATAGGAGATCTGTAGGGAATTCCCAATCCCATTCAGGAAAATGCAATTCCAAGAGGTAAGTAACTTTCGCACAGTCACCCAGTCTGAGATTAAATGCCAGCTGTACCCACTTCCAACCCAACAGTTTCTCCACCACTGCAAGTGTTCTCAGGTCCTGGGAAGCTTGTGAAAAATGCAGATTCCTGGGCCTTGCCCCTCAAGATTCTCACTGGGGAAGTGGGGTTGGGTCTAGGTGGCTATCTTTTTTTATTTATTTTTATTTATTTATTTATTATTTATTGAGACGGAGTCTCACTCTGTCACCAGTCTGCAATGCAGTGGCGCAATCTCAGCTCACTGCAACCTCCACCTCCCAGGTTCAAGCGAATTCTCCTGCCTCAGCCTCCCAAGTAGCTGGGACTACAGGTGCGCACCACCATGCCCAGCTAATTTTTGTATTTTTAGTAGAGACGAGGTTTCACCATGTTGGCCAGGATGGTCTTGATCTCTTGACCTCCCAGAGTGCTGGGATTACAGGCGTCAGCCACCGCACCCAGCCCAGGTAGCTGTCTTTAGCCAGTATCCCAGGGATTCGGATTTAGCTACCCAAGAGACCACACTTCCAGAAACTCCATCATGCCCCCATGAGTCACAGCTCCTTTAAAATAGCCCAGACTGTTTTTCCTCTCAAAAAAGACAAGAATGCTTACTGCTCAAGGCCAATGCTGTCTACTCTGTTGATGCAAAATGTTGCACCTCTACCTAGGGTAAAGAAACTGGAAGAACATTCCTACTAGTGAGCATAAGTGGTAGTTTCCTTATGTGACATTGATGTAAAACTCCCCGCTAAAAATATTTCTTAAAGTACACGGTCTTTAATGTTCTCCTTCATTAACTGCTTCACTGACCAGGCATTACTTTGGGTTTTGTTGCTGTTGTTTATTTTTAAAGAAATAAAAGAGCAAACCATGTACTAAATGAACTGTAGTTTCCAATTTTTATTACCTTAAATCAGGGTTTCCCCACCGTGGCAAGCCTGACATGTCAGCTGGGACCCTTCTTTGTGGTGGGGTAGTCCTGTGGATTGTAGAATATTCAGTGGCATCCCTAGCCTTGACCCACCAGATGCCAAGAGCACCCCTCTCCTAGCTGTGACAACCAAAAATGTCTCCAAACATGGCCAAGTGTTCCCTGGAGGGTAAATCATGATACCTCCCCCATCTGAGAACCACTGAGTTAACCCACATCCCAAATGGGCCTTGAAATGCACAGATTTCATGGCAACATTGTGATCAGCTGGTACACATACACAGCTGCGGTGCCTGTAAGGCACTGCCATATTCACTCGTTCATGCCAAGCTCACACTCACCCCAAGAGCAAGGCCAGGCCACATCATCCATCGCAGCAGGGCCCATGGCCAGGAGGCATCCAGGACCACCATCGGGTATGTGGCTTGCAGCCTGCCCTGAACTCTGTGACACAGCAGGCACCTGGCCCTCTCCCAGCCTCTCTAGCCAGCATTAAAAGGTCAACTTAGCTTGATGATCTCTCAAGATCCTTCTTGAGCTACAGCAAAAACTAGACATGAGAGTGATTTCAAGGCTCCCTGCAGCCAGCAACAGTCACTATGGCTCATTCAGCCTCCGCCATAACTTCTTCCTCCTGTTGACGCACAACTCAGGCTGACAGCATTGAACTCAGACCAGGAGGTCTTCCTAATTTAATATGATTGTTTCATGTTGTATTTTTTTAATTAAATGTTATTTTTCCCTTCAAGGCCTGCTGAATTAGAAAAAACTGTGCTACTGAGTTTTAACTCATTCAGGCCTGTTACGATGCCTGATACAACCATGAATCATAACCTTCACTTAACTAGATCTTCCCCCTTCTTGTCATGTCAAGGAGGTGAAGTACTTTTTAAAAACTAAATGAGCTGATATCAGGGCCTCATCAGTGTACTCAGGGCTGGTACAAAATGAGCTCAATGTTTTTTCAATTTCTCTTCTGTGATCTATACCATGAGGGCGGCCTCAGGATGACGTCTGCAGACAATGAGGGATCTTGGGTAGCTAAATCCGAATCCCAGGGCCACTGATATAAGTGGCCTCTTTTACCACTCACTTATTATGGAAGAAACTAAACTCATAAATTTCTTTCTTAACTCCTAAATTGTTGAAAGGTTTTCTTTGAACAGTTGAAAGAAACAAGAGTCTACATAACCGAAAAATCCCTAAGATGGCTCTATCTGACCGAGGTTGACTTCATCCAACAGCCAAAGACCTATCCAGCCAACGTCACAGAGACAGGCCTCTCAGAGGACGGATGGGAACAAGCATAGCTCAGGGAAGCACCTGATGGGCTCTTGTTGGTGTCATGTCTCCAGTGGCACTGGTGGCCCTCCCGACGGCCTCCCCGCTCCAGTGGGCACCCGCATCTCCCTCCTGGCCCCATTCCTGCTGAGATTGTAGACTCATTTCAGATTGCCACATCAGGCGACTGCGTAACCAACGGAAACATTGGGAATCTTGCACATTTTTCTCAACACTGTTGAAACGGCCATGAAGAACATTGCATAAGATGTATAAATCTGGGGCTTTATTTCATTACCCCCCGAGCACAAGTTGAAGCAGGGAATGGGGTGAAGGGAGAAGCTTAGTCTCTGTCAGCAAGCCACATGTCAGGGCTACACAGCCTAGTCCAGCACCCTGTGCCATGTCTTAAAGATGTTTTACTGATGTCCAACTTGCAACTGTGCCCTCAACACCCAACACCTCTGGTTAAGTCTGTTGATCCTGGCAGTGGCCAGCTCTTATCAGGGTTCTCAATGGGGAGGGGAAGACTCTGGCCCTCAGGAGACATTTGGCAATGTACAAGACATTTTTTATTGTGACAGTAGGGAAGGGGATGCTACTGGCACCTGGTGGGTAGAGGCCAGGGATGCCACTAAACATCCCACAAGGCCTAGGGAACCCTTACAACAAAGAATTGCCCAGACCCAGGCATCAACAGTGGCAAGGCAGAGAAATTCCGGCTTTTGGGGTTATCTATAATGCAGAGTTCCCAATCGACTGGATGGGACTCTGATACTGTTTAAATCTGCAGTCCTTCCCAAGAGAAGGTCACCATGATGCCAAAGGCAAAAAAAAAAAAAAAAAAAAAAAAAAATCTGCAATCAAACAAGAGAGAAATCCACAACAGCACTAAGGGTGAGGAAGCAGGCAGTGGTATCACAAAATTCACTGGTGCTGAGGCTCCCTGACCTGGGGTTCTTCATCAGAAAGAATCTGGAGATGTGGGGGCACCAAGGGACCCCCTCGAAGGTGAGTGCAAAGCATTCCCTTGTCCCCATATTCCTTGGAGTGGTCAGTAATGGGCATCAGATTCTCAAGAAGACCAGCAACCTCAAATTGCAGATTTAACAGAATTACTGAAATGCACAGCCCCGCTGCAAACATCGGTCAGGCAAAGATGTGCAAGACCAAAATGCATCTTAAGCCACCTTTGACCTATTTATGGTCCACTCTGGGGTTAAGGTGTGATCTTTTGTCATTTTTGTTCTCTGGTGTCAGGGGATCGTCATCTGTGGCTGGGAGTCCAGCACTGTCATGGGGTCCTACAGCCTTGACTCCCTCCACACCTTGTTTGTGGTCTCAGGTCTGATTCTGGCCCCCAACAACTCAGCCCCCTTTGCCCGTCTCTCACACCCACTCTCCTCTCCCCATCCCTGGCCCCCAAATGCAAGAGAATAAGCACACATGGCAATGGCTTATAACCTGGGCTATGATTCAGTCTACGTGTAGTGTCCACATTTGCAAACGTGGAAGTCTAGGCTTGACCTTGACCTAGGGCTCCGAATCTCCCAGAGGTGAAACCTGGACATCTGGAGCCTTAGGGATGCCCACACAGCACTCTGATGACCCACAAGGAACTCAATAGCCCAGCTGGTCTGCAGAGCTGGGTTGCCCCAATTCCTGGTTCCTCTGTCTGAATCTAGGTGTAATGGCAAGAAATCTCTGTTGATCAGCTATTCTGGAGTTAGGACCAAGGGTTCACAGTTGGGCCATCTTGCATTTGAATGCTGGCTCCATCATACAAGAACTGTGAGACCTTAACAAGTCACTTCTCCTCTCAGCGCCTCTATAGAATGAGGGTGGGAACAGCATCTACCACACAGGATCGTGTGAGCAGAAAACAAGCCGTGGGCCAGGCCTGGCACAGAACAAACCCTCCATCACATCTCTCCACACATGGGGAACTCATTACTCTCAAGGGAGGTGAGACCAGTTTTAGACATCTGCTGCAGGTTCACAACCCCCTACACGACCCAGCCCCCAAAGGAATGACGGATGGCATCTCACCCTCCTGAGCTGGCCCTACAATGCCAGGCAGAAGTATCAGCTTTGAAAGAACAAGGACTGAAACCTTCCCTGGTATATGCATCGCCTCTGACGGAAGCCCGCGGGAAAAGGTCTTAGTGTGAGGGTCTCCAAGAAGTCTTTTCTCCCACTTGGCTCATCAGGAAAAGGAAACGGCAGAAAAGGGAAGAAAAGAGGCTTCGACCCCCTCATCAGAATACAAGTGACCACAAAAGTGACTCTGTCTCTCAAGAGCCGTGATATCAGTTCATGTACATTTTTGAGACACATTCTGCACTCCTGAACCAATGTTTGCTTTTTTAAAAACTGGATTACTTTTTAAGTAAATGAGAAAGACGTCACTCAACATCTCCACCAGTCCATGGGGGAAAGGAGACACTGTGCCCACAGAGAGGAAGCGAGCTGGGGTCTTTACCTTGAAAATGGAGGCATCCACTTCCTGATTATAATCTTGCTTGCCGGCGTGTTTCCAAGGGATCCGGAACATGCTCTTCTCGTCATTCTCCCAAATCAGTCCTGGATACATGCTACTGTCAATCTGCTCGATCAGCCACTGTCGAAGCCGCCGACCACCATTTCGGTCACACATCCTTGGAAAGACAGAAACACATGCTGCGATATTACGGATATTGTCTCATTCATCACAGCAACCCAAAAACTGCTAACAGGAAACTCAGAGGTTTGCAGCAAAGGTGCTGGCTTGGGGGAAACCCACAGATTCAGGGACTCCGGGACACCTGCCATGAGAAGGCAATGCTGGCCTCCGTGACCTCACAGCCCTGAATGCAAACTGAAAGCTCCATGGGAAACCTGCAGCCACCTGAAGCCACCAGCAGCCCCTTGCGGGCCCCTCCCACTGTGCTGGCTGTGCTCCTTCCAGCTTTCACTGGCCCTTTCCTTTCAGGCAGATACAGCCACAGTGAACAGCTCCAGTTTTAGCACAAGACTGGAAGGGAAGGGGAAATCACTTCTACAGCACCGGGTTCCTTCACCGAGCAGCCCATTAGCCTAAGAACTGACTGGGTTACTGGATGCCCAGCTGGCCCCATATTCCCTGATAGAATACAGCGTCTGTGCCATCTGAGAAAGAGGAGGCCCTCAGGCTAGCCCGTCTAAACAGCTGTTCCTTCACAGTGATAAGAGCACGAGTTTAAGAATGAGACAGAACCGCAATCTCATTCAAGTCCTGCCACGGCTCAGCTGGGAGACCCTGGATCAGCATTTAATCTCAGGGCATCAGCTACCCAGTCCCAGATGAAACTCAGGAAAAACTACCAGTACTGGGTGTAGGGAGAACTCAGATGGTATACAGAAAGCAACTGAGACAGGGCCTGGACCTTACACGCCAGATGTCATTATTATTATCCAAACTTCCTGGGCAACTCCTATGACCAACTGAAAGACAGAGACAAGCGTGAGGGAATAAACAGCAGCTACAGAACAGGGCAAAGTTCACTGGGTTCCTCTTCCAGAAGATGTCCCACTCTAGGGACCTAACCATCCCAGGGCACCCAAAGACATCCTTTGGAAGAACATTCTTACCCAAGTAGACAGCTTCCCCAACAGCACAGAGAAAGAGAGAGAGAACTAGCATGACCTATCGACTTAGAGCCAACATTTCCAAGAACAGTGCTGGAAATCCCCGAGACAGCTGGATAGACGCCCACCCCAAAAAAATATATATATAGCATTTTTATTCTTCTGATTAAAATGTGACCTCTTTGGGCAAACGAGTTTGAAACAATCAGCAGTAACAAGACATAACGTCCCAAAATATGGTAGAGCCATGCTGGTCTAGAAAGCAAAATATCAATCAGAACCTTCACAAGAAGTACACATTCTGGAAACTCCAGCCACCCTGCAGGTGGCCATGAGATGGGAAACAGGGCCAGGTCCTAGGGAGGAAGAGGTGGGATTTCTTAAATTCTCCATCCAACAACCTCAGTTGGGCATTTATTGATTTAAAGGGAGTGAATTCAATTTTTTTTTTCTTTAGAGACAGGGTCTTGCTCTGTCATCCAGGCAGGAGTGCAGTGGTGCTATCACAGCTTGCGGCAGCCTGGAACTCCTGGGCTTATGCGATTCTCCTGCTTCAGCCTCTTGAGTAGCTGGAACTACAGACATGTGCCACCACACCCAGATATATATTTTAGAAACAGGGTCTCGCTATGTTGCCCAGCCTGGTCTTGAACTCTTGGTCTCAAGTGATCCCCCCACCTCAGCCTCCCAAAGTGCTGCGATTACAGGTGTGAGCCACTGCGCCCACACAAATGAGACCTTGGTTTGAAAACTCAGAACTCTGGCAAAGACTTTTCTCTAACCAGACCTTGCGATGTCACTTGAGCCTCTCCCTGAGGCTTCCTCACCTGTAAGTTGAGAGGCTATATCTCAAGAGACCCAGAATTCTAAAGCAGGCCACGGTGTTTATCATGAAGAAGGGACAGACTTAGGAGAGGGTACCTGAGAAGAGAACTGGAACACCATGACCAAAGACCGCACCCCCCGCCGAAAGTTAGCAGCTCTTTGCCGGGGCAAGGTAGAAAAATTTCTCCTAGACTGAGGAATGAGCTGCATAGAGGTGGCCAGAACACAACAGAGGGGTTGGCATTTGAGAATTTCAACTAAATGAGACAGTTCCCCTGATTTCCTTGCTACAAGTTTCTTAAACTAGAATCCACAGTCCCTGAGCCTCCTGCAACCAAAAGCAAAATTTTGTTAGTACAGGCATTTTTCTAGAAAGAGGGTCAAAACTTTGTCATCAGGATTCCTAATGGATTCATAACATCTAAACTGTTGGGGACAACTGTCTTGGTGATTTACAGGAAAAAGAAATTAAAAGGAAAAAGAGAAGAGTGAGTCATAGCATCTGAAAGCTGAAAAATACTTTAGAAATCATCTAATCCAGCCCCCTCTTTACTTAACAGAGGAAAAACTGAGGCCCAGAGAGGCACGGCAAATACCAAGGCAATCAGCAGACTGTGTTGGAACCCATGCCAGCGCCCCAACCCCAGCAGCAGCTTATTTCGCACATGGTGCAGAGAAGAGCCATGGTTACATTACAAGATCTCTGCACATGTGCTGCCCCGTCTGAGTGTCCTTCGTGGTCTCCTCCAAGATTCTAAGTAACATCAAAAGCCTGAGATTCTATTACAATTATGATCCATAATGATTTATTAAACATTAACAAATTAATTCCACCAAATGCCCAGCCAGGAAAAATTAATAAGTATAGTCACATGTTTATAACTTCCTCTTCTTGATTTTGAGGTAATCTATTGGCCAAGCCCTATCTGCAGCCCTATAAATGTACCCAGCAGTCAGGCTTTCCAGGCGAGATGTGATAAGAGGCTGCCCTGGGCCCACCTAATCCAAATTACAGGACACACCTGAGCAGGCAGCAGCAGAACCCACCCTCTCCCCTTCCTCGGAGGGCCCCAGGGCACTCGCTGTGGCCTGGCATACCCTCATCACTAGACCAGAAAGCACCAAAGCCATTTCTCTCTCTGGCACCAACCTTCCTTCAGTGACTGAATCACTCCCAAATATTTTCATAGAGGAAGCTGCCATAACCCAAAAGGACAAGCTTAGAACTGTCATTTTAACTACTAGCTCTTACCTTTGGTTTAAAAAAGAAAGTGGGGGGCCACTGGTTGGGGAGACTTCTTAAAATTCTGAAAAATTCAGTCTCTAGTTTCCATTCGTAAAGCCTTTCACAGCTCTGGGTAAGTAACACATCTCACCTTAGGAAAGTCTGTCCTCTGTATTGAGACTCATCTTACAAACAATGTTCTTTAAATAAATTTTTTCAAACAATGTTTTTGTGAGCTGTGGCCGGTATACAGACTCTCTTGCCAAGGACGACTGGGCTGTGATGCAAGAAAAGGACCTCAAGCCAGACTCAGAAATCTTAATTGACTGTCATTAAACAGAATTTTAGAACCAGTCTGTTCCCACCTTCACAAACTAACCCTCGATAACGACTGGTTATTGGGCAGTTCCAGAATTCTGACCCTTCAAGCATTATTCCACGTGGTAGAATTTCAGTGGAATGATAGAGCGAGTTTCAAGATTCGGGGTTGCTATTGCCCTTCATATGAGCTCTCCTAACGTTTTCCACGCAAACCAGATTTAAAGAAAAATGATATTTTTAAAAAGGCAACTATCTACCAATCTTTGGAAACAGGCAAACAATCATCAACGACTTGGGCATTCAGATTGGACTTAGGTGGCTGGAAAATAAGCAAAAAGCAGAGAGGGACACGGACGGCCACTGAGCAGCGCCTGGGGACATTACGGTAGGTAGTTCCACCCCCACGCCCCGCCTGGTGTCGGGGACCCCGCGGGACCCGAACGCGCGGAACACGGGCGCCCTGCCCGCCCAGCGTGCCTACCTGCCGCCGCCCTGCCGCCGTCTCGCCGCCCGCGTTCCCACGCTTGCTGCCGCGCTCCAGGCGATGCGCCAGCGGGCGCGCGACTTTAAAAAGGGCGTAGGGGGCGGGCCCGGTGCGCAGAGCGACGGCCACACCGACCAATGGCGTCATCTCGGCTCGAGCGGCCCGCCTTCTTTGAAGCGCTCGGCTTTCCGAGAAATCACTTTCCTCCCCCGGCGGCCGCGGCAGTGGGTCCGGGCCTCTTCTGCAGCCGCTGGCAGAGCCGCGCTCCTCACACCTGGGGTCCGGGGGCGGCGCTGCAGGGGGGCTTTCCCAGGAATTCGGGAGGCCCCGCGGAGCGATCTGGAGGCGTCCCCTGCCTCCCAGGCCGGCTCGGGCGGACAGCGAGCGAGCCCCTAGCAACGAGCCACTGTGCAGACCGTGTGCCCGCGGCCCATTAATCAGAATCCAGAACCGGAACCTAGCTGCCCCGCCAGTCTCCGCCTCCACGAGCGCTGGATGTTGGGCAGTGACTCCCGCCACGCGTTATTCCACGGAGACGAGGACGCGAAGGCCGTTTACAGACCGTCCCGGGTCGGCGGTGGCCTGCGCTGCCCAGGAGGGGCAGGTGAACCCCAGCTCCAAATGAGGCCACTGCCCGCTGAGACCGCGATTGAAACAGGAGCATCCAACGTGCTCGCCACTAGAAGGTCCCCCTGGGGAAATTTTCATCATAAATCCTTTTCTCGAGAAAGCGTCGGCGTTAAGAAGAGGTCCCCTGGGGGACCAGCCGCTCCTGGGTGTGCACTGACATTTATTGTAAAAATGAAGTGGAGGAGAAGGGGAACAACACTGGAAAAAGAAAGAAACCCCTGGAAACGGAAAAAGAAGTGTTTCCGTGTTCCGTCCTGGGGAAGCCCTGGAATGGGGGGAAAATGAAGGTCGTAACTGGCTTTTATTGCCCCGTGGAGAATCACATATCGGGGCTGTTTTTGCATTGAGCTTTTCAAGGACCTGTGAAAATGTATGAGACTGAAACTTTTATTGGCTGCACAATACAAAAAGTACACTGCAAATCTGGAATTAATCAATGTTTAAATGATGGTCCCCAAAACATGTTAACTTCATAATTGTAATGTATTGATGGATAAATGTGTCATTATATTTTGAAACTGTAAGTTAGATATCACTTGGTATGAGTTCCCTAATGCCATGATTGCCGGGAAGTTTTAAGTCATTATAAAGTGAGTTCCTCATCATCAAATAATTTTAAATAAAACTATTGTTTTAACACTCATATTATTTAAGAGTCTTTAGAGAATATAAGAGTGTTTTAATATGTTTGCTATGATGTGGGATGGAGCTTCCAGAAATCAGAGCATCTAGGACCTCAGAAGTTCTTAAAACAGCCTCTGTATATGTTTACTCTCATATATTTTTATCAATGTGCCCCTAAGCCTACACAGATTTACTTACAAATGCTGTCCGCTGTGGAAAGATGCATCCTCAAGTTTCCACTAGCTTTCACTTAGATAAAGACAAGGGTAAGTGAATATAGGAAATCAACAGTGGAAGGGCTCCAGCACGTGTCGTTGGCAGTAGGTGTCACTATGTACATTACAGGAACTGTCTTGCATTAAAACTGCTCCAGAAACCCCATATTTTCCACGTGGTGGTTCCTCGCTGCCTAGGAACAATTTCTAAACAGATCTGTTTAGTTCTGCTCTTATTTAATGGGCATTTATGAGGCAACTATTATGTGCTAGATATAGTGCCAAGAACAGGAGACCCAAAGAATGAACATGATGTTTCATTCTCTGAGACACTCCTGCCCGGGAGTGTCAGAATCTAGAACCCAGCCTGGAGGCTCCACAGAGCCTGCCCCTTGGATATTGGGAGGCAAAAAAAAAAACAAAAAAAAAAAAAAAAAACCTTTGGTCCATGTGTGTGTTATTACTTGTCATATTACAGTGTGGTTCTATTATTTATTCCCTGGAATTATATTTCCAATTGAAAGACCATTTTTCTGGCTGGGCACGGTGGCTCATGCCTGTAATCCCAGCATTTTGGGAGGCTGAGGCAGACAGATCACCTGAGGTCAGGAGTTCAAGACCAGCCTGGCCAACATGGTGAAACCCCTGTCTCTACTAAAAATACAAAGAACTTAGCTGGACATGGTGGCACAAGCCTGTAGTCCCAGCTACTCAGGAGGCTGAGGCAGGAAGATCACTTGAACCCGGGAGGTGTAAGTTGCAGTGAGCTGAGATCAGCCACTGCACTTCAGCCTAGGCAACAGAGCAAGACTCCGTCTCAGAAAGAAAGAAAGAGAGAGAGAGAGACCATTTTTCTGTGTACACAAGATTTCTGCTCATATAATGGAAACACAGTTTTCTTAGGTTTCAAAGAGCTTTCTTTCCATTTTAGTACACTGGGATCTAGCCCATTCTAACAGCTGCATATATTTCATTGTATATATTTGCCTTAATTTAGGTCATCAACTACCTAAACTGATTTGGGTGATCAATTTGATGACCTGAATTGATTATTACCTAATTGAGCATATCTAGTGAGCTCAGATCACCGCTCGTGATCTGGGAGCTGTGTAAATAGGTATGCACATATGTAAAATCACCCTGTCATTTTTTCTTGTCATATAAATGACAAAAATGGCTAAAATGGGCCAGGTGCATTGGCTCATGCCTGTAATCCCAGCATTTTGGGAGGCCGAGGCTGGTGGATCACAAGGTCAGGAGATTGAGACCATCCTGGCTAACACGGTGAAACCCTGTCTCTACTAAAAATAAAAAAAGTAGCCGGGCGTGGTGGCGGGTGCGTGTAGTTCTAGCTACTTGGGAGGCTGAGGCAGGAGAATGGCACGAACCCGGGAGGCGGAGCTTGCAGTGAGTCGAGACTGCGCCACTGCACTCCAGCCTGGGCGACACAGCAAGACTCCGTCTCAAAAAATAATAATAATAAAAATTTTTAAAAAGACTACAATGAGGACACATGGCAATAAGTGGTTATCTCATGCAATACCATTTATTGCAGCAAAAAGATGCAGAGCACGGTCCCAGGTTCTCTGATCCTTCCTTCCAGCATCTCACGATCCCGGTAAATTTCCTCCTGGTCTCTCAGTGGCCTACTTGCCCTCCTACCTCCTCATCCCTTCCCTGTTAATTCTACTTTGCTACCCTGCCTTTCTGTCTTCAGGAGCTTCTCAGTGGTAGCCACACAGGTCTCCTCCTGGCATCTAAAAGTCATACTTACCAACCTCATATTTTCCACATTCCAGCAGGAACCCCTGTTTCCATAGATGGCAGCCTACCACAGCAGGTTTTGGAATTAGGCCCCAGTTCAAATCCAAGCTCCCTGACTCACCAAATGTGTGAGCTTGAGCAAATGACTTAACCTTCCAAAGCCTCAGTCTCCTTATCTGTATAATAATGGCATTGATGGTAATACTAGGCTAAATTCTGTGACATCACCTACATTCAACTTTTTGACCTACGGAAGGGCAGTTTACTATGGCCTAACCCAATCGTTCCTGCCCTTAGGATTGGTGGGCATTGAATGAGACAGTATCTGTGTGAGAGAGAGATCTCCTTCCTCCACCTTGCTCGTTAGCGCAAGAGGAAAAGGTCAAATCGTCACCAATGAGAGAAGTCTAGAAAAAAGGACAGTGATTCCTAACTCTAAGAATGCCAACTGCAGACCAGTGATAATCTGCCTCCATGAAGAATGGGAAGGGTTCCTCCCATCTGGTTAGCTTCCTAGCTCCTCTAACACCTTCCTGCCCCCACCAGGTCACAGGTGGGTGCTTCCGGCTGCTTCTCACCTCCTCACTTATCTTTGCGGCTTTTAGAGACCCTCTCCTCTTCATGGAGTCCCTTTTTCTTCCTCTTCACCCTCCTTAATTCCTATCTTCCTGATGTCCAGAAACCTCCCTGTCGAGCCTCCCTCCCATCTGTCTTGCTAAGCTGCCAATCTGTCTGCCCAGTTCTTATGGTGGAGCAGGTGCAGAGGTGATGAAGCAAGGGCACCTTCCACAGCCAGCCTCAGGACCAAATCCCTGAGAGGCCTTCTGACCCAGACAGTGCCTGTGATGGACCAGATGATGTCCCCCCAAATACATACGTTGAGCCCTAACCCCCAATGTGACGGTATTTGGAGATGGGTCCTTCGGGAGGTAATGAAGTTTTGATGAGGGACTAGGGACCAGAGAGCTTGCTCTTACTCACTCTTTGCCTGTGTAAGGACACAGAGAGAAGGCAGTCGTCTGCAAGCCAGGAAGGGAGCCCTCCCTAAACCTGACCATACTAGCATCCTGATCTCAGACTTCCAGCCTCCAGAACACTGAGAAAATAAATGTCTGTCATTTAAGCCACACAAGGTATGGGGTTGTATGATGGCAGCCAGAGCTGAGGAAGGCAATGCCCCAAGGGACGGAGTGAACTTAGCATGACTTTTGAGTTGCACTTTGCTAATGGGATCTCGGTACCTCTTCTCCACTTCTGATGACGTTACAGAAGGCCTCCTCTATGGTCCTGGCTGTTTTTCCTAGTCTTGGGGAAAGGGTGCTCTTTCTCAAGATGTGAATAAGAGTGGTGGAAATCCATCCAATCTCACATATAAACAAACTGCTTAGAACAGTGCCTGACACAAAGTAAAAGCTCAATAAATTGTAGTGCAAGAGGGTGTTAGATTCTTCCCGGCCCGGCTTCTACAGGGACCAATTCCATGAAGAGCCAAAGTGTATGAGACTTACATGTTCAGATTTACCCCTTGGCCAGAGCAGAGACATAAAATGGGTTCAAGAGAGAGGGAGGAGGTGAGAGCCTTTCCAGCTGCGGACCCCAACCTCTCCCTTAACACTTTCCAAGCCAAGCTTAGCAAGTGAGTTCAAGAGTGCTCAG